ACATCTCCACTTTCCATCCCACATATTGGCTTAATATATTTCTAGTAATGGACATGATGTTTTCCCAATAGAGATGGCTTATGTCAGAATCAGTATTCTCTCCTCTGCATAGAAGTCATTATATATGCTAATGGTTTAAGAGGCCTGGGTCCTAATGGCTAAAGAAAATGATGCTTCTATAGCCTACCAATGCAATGTTACTAAATAATTAATCTGCATCTTATGTATCTAAATGTCATAAATGATGATCCGTAGCAAGTTTGACTCAGGTGCTCAAACCATGCATCCAGAAAGCTAAAAAGAGAGTGGGTTTGCCTATTGATTGACATTATGAAGGAGTCTGGGTGACTACAATATTTAGAATATATCTTGCTGTTCGTTGATGGCTGCCAAAATCTAACGGGGAAAGTGATATGCATTCCCAGGGAGATGTACAAGGGGAAAATAATGGATCTGAAAAAATACCTTAATGGTGTGAGATCAATAATATTACTATCCCAGGTAAAATAGGAACACATGTATTATTAAGACCCTGCTGAAATGAGAGCATTTCGTAAAGTTCCTATATTATGCAGATCCTTCTTACTGTAATGTATCAAAGAACAAAGCCAATTAAGGTAAGAAATGCCAGGAAACTTACATAAATCATATGTATTTCATTCTTTTTCTTCTTAATGGTCATGAGCATTAGCAGTATGTGGGCTAATGTAATGGTATTTTGTTGATTGGACCACCAGTGTTCACTGAGTCCATTGGCGGAGTATGGGGTACACTACAGCTGCTTCTGGATAAAGAAACTGAGCTGGAAGTCTCCGCTACCTATATGAATCTCAGTGGTTATAGCTGAACTCAGGGTAGATATAAAAAGCAAAAAGTAATTAAGCTCAGTATTTAATAATAAATCAATAACATGTATGTCAACTCAAATACAATTTTTAAAGACCAGTTTGCACATGTACTTGTACTACTAGAAATAATAGTAATTTTCTAATTAAAATTTTGCTAACTGCATATCACAGTACTGAAAAAGGGTTTTCTTGCTGTAAGGTGACAAAGCTCACTGACTGTCTGCAAATTCAGTATTGGTGTTCTTACCCTTTTAGAACTATAGGCCGTTGTGTCACCCAAAACAGGTCTAAAGTTGGCCGCCATCAAAGCACATTGTTATGCCATCACACTCTTTAAGGCAGTACATAGTGGTGGTTTTAGTCAGCAGCCACTCTCTACCTAGAATAGTAAATCTACAGAGGCTGCTAGGAGCTGAAGTCCAGGAGCCAGGGACCAAAACTCAATGGTAACGTCACTTGGAGCGTACCATCGCTGCAGGTTCATAACCACCCACTGCCCTAGCTGTTCACAAGGCAATGACAAAGTAGGCGGTCTTCTGACTGCTTCATAAATATAAAATAATAGGTATTTTGGGGATTGTTTGTGCAACTTTAGAGACTGAGACTGCCTTTGATGTAAATCTGCTTGTTTTAACAACTATAGCTTTACAGCCACCTTAAATTTATATTTAAAATGCAACTAGTATAGGTACTAGAATTTTATACCTCCCAACTGTCCCTTATTTGGGACAGTTTTTTTTAGTTGATTTACAGATATCTATGAAAATGTATTATTTACCTACCAGACGCGTTATTCTTCACTAAAACCTCCATCTGATCTCTTAATCAATGTTTGCCATTGTTTGCTGTTCTGAAAATCCAGTATAAAGAGAAGTAATGGTGGAAAATGGCATATCAATTCTTAATGGTCCACATAACTGGGGTGGGGGGGGGGGGTGCAGGGAATGGTCCATTGTCTAAGTACATTGTGCAGGAAGATATCATTGTTTCTCATCTCATCTCATTGTTTCTCATCTCAGAAAGTGAGGAGGTATGGCATTTGAACCTCTTGCAATCCCCTATACAGCAGCAGTCTTGTGGAGGGAAGGACAATACTGTGAGCCAATATGATTGGAGGAGAGAGCAAACTAGAATGCTGAAAGGAGGAGAGAGCAGCTGAGGGGAGGGACAAACCTATCAGTCTTCTGCTTCTCTTTCACAGTCCAGTCAGCAGGCTGGGAGTGGAGAGAGGGCACCACTGTATGCCTTTTACAGGCTACAACTGTAACAGACAAAGTGGTGTTATGTACCATGGTCTCATGTTTTGGGGTGTGTAAGTCTCCAGACCAGATGGACAGACATATAAAAACAACACACTTTTATGGATTTCATTTGTATATTTAGTTGTTTGGCTGGAGATCAGATTGTATTCTCAGCTTTTATTAGAATGTTCCTTTAAACTCTTCAGCTTGGAACAGTTTCAGCAGACAAAGTGCTGAGGAGTGCTGGGCGAGTGTCAGGAATGGGCTGAGAACTCCCGAGGCTTTCATAGACTGGCATATGCAAGCTGCTACATGAATGATTCTTCCTAAATAAAAAGACCAAAAGGGAACACAAATGATTAGAGGTATCACAAAATTCCACAGGAACTCTTTGGAGACAGGTAGTTGTTTTGCAGTCGAACACATGTTTCTGGCTAATTAAAGTGGTCTGGATGAAATAGAGGAAAGAGACTTTTGATGCGGCAAGAAGGCCACATGTAAGTAAAGCACACAGATGGCCATCTAATAAGAGCAGGAACAGACAGCAGTCTTTTCCTCTCTGTTGCTGAAATTATATTCTCTGCTCTGGACTAGAGGTGAGCAAAAACCATTTGTTAATTTTTAGAAACTTTAAATTAAATTTAAATGAAACATGCACTAGAAAAAAATGTAGTGTCTGCTATTACAGCCTTCGTTCTAAAGGTGCCCATACACCTATTGATTATCGTTTGGAAATCGTCCACAAATGGTCTTTCAAGTGATAATGGATCAGTTGATGGGAACCCAATGATTTTTTTTACTGTACTCCTGGCCGAATTTCCTTAAATGGTCAGGCTGGAAAAGTTTTTTTGAATTGTATAAAAATCGATGGATTAGTGGTGTTTCCGTATGAAAAAAATTGCAACGTGAACACTGCACATGCGCAAACAAAAATCCATTCTACTGATCGACAAAATTTGGTCAGTTAGTATTGCTAAAAAATTATAATCAAAATCGACATTGGTCTGTGCATGATGGGGTATTCGAGCGGAAATCAAACAATTAGATGAGGGCACAAAAGAAATTGAACAATAATCGATAGGTGAATGACCAGCTTAAAGCAGCCCATGCATCCTACAATCTAATTATACAATCTTTATACATTACTCTTTAAGCTCAACATATACTACTTCTGACTGTTCAATTCAGAACTTAGAGGGCGTGCCTGATTGAATACAAATTGACTACATAGTTAAAGTATATCTAAAGCCCAATTTTTTTTTCCATGGAGTGAGAGGATATCTTTCCAATGTGAAGGAAATCCATTTTTAGACAGTTGTCACAGGAACCCTCATTTGTAGATGTCCTCTCTATTACTGTTCTGGTGGACACTCCATTGGAGTGTTCAGGGTAGTTAGAGTGAATCTCCCTAACACAGACACATACAGCAATAAAATCCTGACAATAGTAGTATCCCTTCACTACTCTATCTAGATCTTAAGTTATACTTTAAGGTTAATCCTCATACTACATAGTTTTGGTGAATCTAAAGGAGATATTATGAGGGTGAGTCAAAAGTGATCTGCACTCCAGTTATATTAAAACTTCTGATGGCCACAATGTCTTATATGTGCTTTCCGTTCAAGGCTACTGTCTCCCCAGTCAATGCTGTGCAGGTGTGAATGTGTTACCTTAATTCATTTGTAACTGTGGTGCCATACAAAAATGGATGCCCCACTTGTGATTTGCACAAAAGAAGAGCAGCATGCAGTAATTCGTTTTTTTGTGGTGTGGGGGTGTGCCTGGTGCCGTTTCTTATCAAAGACTTTGTGCGCAGTATGGAGAAAGTGTTTTGTCCTGAAGAAGTGTGTATGAATGGATAGAGAAGTTCAAGGAAGGTCGCACAAGTGTTAGCCCTCAAGAAGGAGCTGGACGCCCGTCCACGTCCATGGCTGATGACAACATTGAGTCCTGATCTTGCTCCATCTGACATTCACCTGTTTGGTCCCCTGAAAGCAGCCCTACAAGGACCAAGATTCACCTCTGAAGAAGAAGTGAAGAGCGCGGTGCATTTGTGGCTTGCTGCTTAGCCTACAACATTTTTGAATAAAGGAATATGAAAGCTTGTTGACAGATGGACGAAGTGTACTGAAAAGCAAGGATATTATGTTGGAAAATTATGTATTTGTCTTTTCTAAAAGTTGATTAAAATAAATTCTACATCCAGAGTGAGGATCATTTTTGACTCACCCTCTTTCAAAGACTTTACGGTCAAAATGTAGTTGTATGGTGAGCTTTAAATCTGCTGAAACTATGTAGTAGAAGCCCTATCTTAGCAATATTTTATATTATTATCTAAAGTGGTGTGTTTTTATACTACTACAATGTTGTGGTTAGAGATAAAGGAGATTATAAAAATAGATTGCTGTGTGTATGGCCAGCTTTGGAATACATGTTTCTTGGCTTTCTCTGGCTTCAGTATATTTAAGTTTTTGACCTAGAACAAGCATGGAGGTAATTGATGTCAGAACTTATGATTTCCAAACGTGTCTCAGGTCAGTGTTTCACAAAACATATGATCTCATTTGATCAGCATGAGAGCCAGACAACTAGCTTTTTCAGAAAAACTGCAAAAAACTACAATAACCGAAAGTTCCCATAGGCGATGCTTTAAACACTTTTACGGCTCATCAGTTTAGTGCTAACAGTGATTGATGGGTCTAGAAATATTGCTCTCACTTGGATGCTCGTGACAACATGTAACATGTGTGGCACAATTTTAGTTTTTGCATGTAGGCGCATCTGACAGGTGTTTATATTGTATGTGCATGGCGGCATCGGTGGCCGCCGAGGGGGGGACACACACATTGTCACATTGTACAAGCGATCCGGCACCTGTACAAATGCCGGATCACTTGTATTTAAACAGCAATCATCTGCCGGTGCCTGGTGGAGTGCTGTGGTACGCGCGTGTCTCTTTCTTCCGGTCCGGATCCTCGGCACGTCTCCGTGTCCTCACACAGCTGTAGCCATGTTGGGAGCCTCTCTTCTCCGGTTCTGCGTGTCCTCTGGTGTCCGCAGCCTGTCCCGCTGCCGTCCACAGCCTCAGCTCGTCGGTTCCCAAGTTGCAATAGCTGCTCGCTGCTATTCTCAAGCCAAACATGAATCAGATGAGGAATTTGATGCTCGCTGGGTGACTTACTTCAACAAGCCAGACATTGATGAATGGGAACTAAGGAAAGGTGTAAACACACTCATCGGTTATGATTTAGTTCCTGAACCAAAGATCCTTGATGCTGCCTTGCGCGCTTGCAGACGGTTAAACGACTTTGCAAGTTCTGTCCGTATTTTGGAAGCAGTAAAGGACAAGGCTGGACCTCACAAGGAAATCTACCCATATATCATCCAAGAACTCAGACCGACTTTAGATGAGCTTGGTATCCCTACCCCAGAAGAACTGGGCCTAGACAAGGCATGAGAATTACAGGTTCTCCATCCAAAAGTTTTATGAACATCTACTTGATTGTAAAGAGCCATCCACAAATACAAAGATGTTAACATATTACCTTTATTTGAAAAACTTGCAACAAAGTGTTCTTTTATTGAGTCCTAATGTGTGTAATATTATGTCGGACCTAATAAAGGGATATTGTTTAATCTGAAAAAACAAAAACAAAAAACAAAACAGCAATCATCTGCTGTTTAAAATGGTACCAAGAACACAGCTGCAGCGGCAGCAGCAGCCGTGTTCTTGGTATAGCCACTTCCAGCAGAGGTACTACCCGCAGCAGAGGTACGTGAACCCGCTGGAAGTGGTTAAGGAAGTTGCTGTGAGGAATTAGGAATAAAAAGACCATAAAGGAGACTGCTGACAGCCAAGTTTAGTGTGTGGTGCTGGAGTGACCTCTTTCCTAGTAACATTCTCACTCAGGCTTGGGTGGAGACTGAGGAGGACCATGTCAGTGCCATATTCTCACCTGGCCATCTTAATATAATCTGATGCTGCCTATGAAGGGAGGAACAATGGCCTCTGGGATAACAGAGATCACAAAGTCATGGGCAGAGGGGTAACTAGAACCTTCAGGGCCCCAGTGCAAGAAACCATGAAGGAACACCCCAACCGCCATGGCACCGCATGGTTAACAGGAAGGCTGCGGAGGTCCTCAGCAAGCGCGGGACCTCAGGCAGCCTCTTGTTTAAAATGTTAGTGCCGGTGTTCTGTCGAGAACGCCGACCCAGTATCTGCGCTTACGTACAGACAAGATTAACGAGGAAACCGGCATTTATTTACAAAGTATTTGATTCCAATGGTTAATTGTGACCGTTAATAATATGCCGTCCATGGCAGTAAATGACGGGTGGCGGTGAATGATGGATAGCATATTATTAACCATCACAATTAATGATTTAAACAAAATACTTTGTAAATAAATCGCTTTCCCTTGATAATACTGGTCTGTGTGCAAGCGCAGATGCCGAGGTTGGCAAATTCGACTATATCGGCATTCTCGACAGAACACCGGTATCTGGGTTTAGTATCAGGGCATTTTCACAAGTGTGAGTACTTGTGAAAATGCCCAGTATTGGCAGCGGTGTATCCCTACTTAAAAATATAATGTATTGCTGGGACTTGTAATCCTACATAGTTGGAGCTTTTCTACATTGCTGTATAATCACCATACAGCAATGCAGAATACCACCAGCTATGTGGGACTACAAGTCCCAGCAATACATTATAATAAAAGTCAGCACTACAGACCAGAGGCGTAACTAGAAACCCCGGCGCCCCGCTGCAAGAAACCATGAAGGGCCCCCTCCCCCCAGACAGAGCTCCCTGTGTGTTAATCACACGTTCCCATGTCAATAACGCACGCGCACAACACACCGATAATTTGTTACAGTCATTTGAATGGCACCCGAAACACACCTCCAGGCCACAATGGGTTTGACCGCAACACAACGCATGGTAACGTAATACCACTGGCTTGGGAAGAAATAATATGAATTATCAAGCGTTTTTTTTTAAATAACCTCCAGGCAGCAATAATAATCCCGTCTTCCCCACAGCAATAATAATTTATTATTGCTGCGGGGAAGGGGGGTAATTATTATTGCTGCCTGGGGGAAAATTGTTAATAGGCAGGAGTTAATTAAAAAAAAAACCCATACAGTAATAATAATCACCCCCTTACCCACAGTAATAATAAATTATCCTTGGGGTAGATTAATACTGCAGCCGGGGTTGAAATTACTATTAGTTATTAAACATTTTCAGTATCTTCTTTTTACTGTCTTTTCTCTCACTTGTTCCAGCTCCCAAGCTTCTTCCCCTCCTGACATCACTCTGCACGCTGAGGCGGATTGATATCCTCAGCACAGAGATGATCCTGTACAGGCAGGCACTAAGACTTAATTGTCGCAGCTCTCCGTGTTCCTCCGCGGCAGCCGAACATGGTAAAATAGTCCCCTCTCTTCTGCTGTCAGTTCAGCGGGGGAGAGGGGAGTACTGTATACTAGTATTAATTGGACTGGCTGCTGTCCAGCTGAGACCGGGCTCTCCTCCTCTCTGGGTCCCCCTCCCCAAGTGACGGAACACCAGGGCCCGGTCACACATGCAACTGCTGCGACCCTGGTAGTTCCGTCAGTGGTCATGAGCATATCTGGTCTGACATGCCCAGGATTCTTGGCCGTTTTTTTTACAAACAAATGGACCATCTGGCCAAATATGACCAGTTTGTTCAGGCATCTGGCCAACAGTGAACAGGTTGTTTTGCCTGAACCTGAACTTTATCCCTACTCATGAGCGAAGATAAGATAGAATATGCCTCTGAGAATAAAAAGTGCTCCAGAGGAGTAGAGCAGAACTGGTAAAGAGAAGCTTTGAGTCTTGAGTATAAAAGAGTAAAGGGACAAAGACCTATAACCTTTCAAGGATGCCAGAGACATGGACTTGTGGGGTGCCATGGAGGATGTGTTTATCCACAGAGAAAAGCCTCAGCCACATTTAGAAATGGAGTATGAAAGAGTCATTGAGCTTCATTTTCCTTTAATGGGATTGCAACTCCCAGCTCCCTTCACAAGACCGCATTAAATATGACATTTTTCATTTTGCCCCATAGTTCCACTTTAAATATTGGATCCCCAAACCAATCATATATATATAGCATAAAAATGTCAGCACTGCAAAAGACTGAAAGCGCCACATGGTGTGTTACCGAGATTTGGATTTCCATTTCATGATAAGTGTAGAAATGTAGGTGCAGGTAATCCATTTAGAAAAAAATGACTGACATTCAAGAAGAAGCAACATAATTTGAAGGATTTATATGATAAATGGAATATTTTGAGTTCAGTTCAAGAGGAAATTGGAAGCTACAGAGGGGATTTGCCTAGTGAAAATGTGTGTTAGAAATCTTTATACATATCTGTACCTCTGGGATGGGAAATGAATTGGCTTCTTAATGCATTGCATGTGCATTGCAGAGGTTCAGCAGTAATACTCCTTTCTGTTATCTGCACCGCTAAATACCTAGTTATAGATAAACAATGACTTTACAAAACAAATCTTCCCACCACATATCCTGTACAATGATATGATACTAATAATAATATATAATAATAT